GCAGTTACTAGTTAGGGGCTCAGATATGAGCTGTCAGCAGCCAACAAACCTGGCAGCTAGGGATTGATGACTTTGGTTCTGATTGAGAAATCTGGGCAGTGCACCTGAACCTACACTAGAAGAGATAAGAAAGTAGAAAGTCTTATCAAAAGGTGAATAAAATACTTCAGGTGAGAGATAATGACAGCTTGGTAGTCAGAGGTGGTTGGATTTGGGATATATTTCAAAGGATTTACTAATGGATTAGATGGCAGGGGAGAGAGGAATCAAGGGTATCTTCAAAGATTTTTGGCCTGAACAACTGAAAGATGTTGCCTCATTAATTTAATGAGAAGTGATGGCTAGTAGATTTTTGTCTTAAAGCAGCTGTATTGACTGAAGAATGTAACTAACCTCTTATCTCATTTACAATTTCTAGCTGCATTAAAGAACATGGGTTTATAATTTTCTGTTCCGATAATAGCAATTGCCTAAATTGATCCAATTAGAAGTTTAAAAATTGAATAGACTCATCACCTTGGAATAAATTAAAATTTTGTCAAATAATTATCCTTAATGAAATAAACTCAGGATTAAAGTCAAATACTTTTAAACTTTCAAAGATAGGTAATTCTTATGATAAGCATCCATTTCCAAAGGTGTGAAATAGTGAGAAATCTTCCTAAGTCATTTTAAGAAAAGAGCATAACCCTGATATCAAAACTGAGCACTGATAACAGTAAAAGAAGAAAATACAGATTAATCTCATTTGGGAATTTAGATTAAAAACCCTAGTAAAAGCACTAATAAATCTGATTCAAGAGTACTTGAGGACATTAGCAAAATGGTGGCATAGGAATTTCTACTGGTCATCTCCTCCCAGAAATGTCAAACAATTATCTATACATGAAATACCTTCATGAGAGCCAGGATTCCAGGTGAGATTGCAGCACTGGATGAAGCACAGAAGTAAGAAAGGATGAATTGAGAAGGGTAGGAAAGATTGATTCACAAAACCGCTATTTCCCCTTCTCCAAGCCAGAGCAGCCTAGACCAGAGAGAGAAGGAGAATAAAGTGAGTGCTTACCTTTACTATGGACCCTAGAGCCAGCACGCCCTATTGCCAGGTAGACTCCTGGAGCCCTAGGTGACTTTGTGTAGGCTCCTGAGAACCCAGTCCCTGGCTCACCCCAGACTTGCCTACTTCAGCAGCCCAGACACCTCCTGTGGCCCCTGGTAGCTTTGAGGGCTTAGCTGCTGGTGGGCTACCATGAACCAAGCCCCTGACTCAGCCTGATGCCTGCCAGATCCAGCAGCCCCAGGCAGCTCCCATGGCTCCAGGCTCTCAGAGGACCAATGAACCTAGGCTTCTGGCCGATCTGGTGCTGGTTGGCTCCTGCAGCCCAAGGTGGCCCAAGGTGGTTCTCACAGCTCCAGGCAACTTCTTCAGCTCCAACCTCCCAGTGGACTCCTGTGAACCCAGATTCTGGCCTACCCAGAACTGGCTGGTTCTTGTGGCCCTAGGTAGTTCCTGTGGCTTCTGGCTCCTAATCAATGCCTGCAAACCTGGGCTCCAGGGGGGCACCTGTGAACCCAGAGTGCTGGCAAGGCCCAGCACCAGACTGACTACAGCTACCCAAGCTTTCAACTTGCAAGTACTCCAGTAGCAAGCCTGCCCACAGACACCACCAATCTGCCTACCCAGAATCTGTGGACAGGCTGAGTGATGAAGGGTTCTGTCTGTTGAAGCCAGTCAGCAGAGACTGGAAGAAGTCCCAATGTCCTCAAATGTGCAGACATCAACACAAGGCCAATATCATGAATAATCAAGGAAACTAATAAAATCAGTGACTGTAAAAAAAATAAAGATTTATGAGTTGTCTGACAAAGAATTCAGAAGAATCCTCTTAAAGAAACTCGGTGAACTACAAGAAAACACAGACAACTAAATGAAAAACAATGCATCAATAAAACACAAAGTTCCACAAAGAAATAAATCATAAAATGAGCAGAAATCTGAGAACAGAAGACTAATAATGATTGAACCAAAAGATTTAATAGAGGTCTTAAAAAGCAGACTTGACTAAGCAGAAGAAACAGTGAACTAGAAGAGAGGCCATTTGAAATTACATAATTAGAGAAACTATGAGATAACATTTAAAGATGCAATCTATGCAGTCTTAGAGTCTCAGAAGGGCAAGAGAAAGAGAGAGAAAGGAGCAGAAACCTCATTTAAAATAATAATGGCTGAGAACTTCCCAAATCTGAGGGAGATTTAGATACCCAAGTTCATGAAGCTAATAGGTCAAAATTTCAACCCAGTGATCTTCTCCAAGACATATTATAATAAAACTGTCTAATATCAAAGAAAAAGAGAACATTTTAAAAGCAACAAGAGAAAAACATATTCTCACATGAAAGATATAGAAAACAAAAGTCAACTGAGTAAATTTGAAGATCTAATTGGTTTTGTCAAATGATTCATGAATTGGGCAGCGTCCCATCCAGCAGGTAGAGGGGAGCTCCAAGCACTTGTACAAAATGGAAGATTTTTATAGGAAGGAGGGTAGAGCAAGAAAGTTATTAGTAAAAGGAAAGGATTGTTTCAGGCAAGGTTACTTTCCATTAAAGGGAGGAACAAGAGATTTTATCATGCAGATTACCTCATCCTCCTTTGGGGGATTGAGAGGGTCCATGTGACAGATTCATTGGTGCCCATCAGAAAATTCCTAACTGGCAGGTTAAGACTACATTTCTGGGGAGGTTGAACTCCAGTTAGATTAGGTACTAAGTACTGGTTTGGGGACTCAGCCTAAGTGATGCCATTTTAGTTCTGTGGTTTTCTTTTTAACAAAGGAAATCCCCATAAGGCTGTCAGTGGGTTTCTCAGCAGAAACCTTTCAGGCTAGGAGAGTGAGATGATATATTCAAAGTGCTGAAAGAAAAAGACTGCCAACCAAAAATATTTTACCCAACAAAGTCATCTTTCAGAAATGAGGAAGAGATAAAGATTTTTCTAAACAAAAGTGGAAAGAGTTCATCACACCTTGACTTGCTTTACAAGAAGTGCTGAAAGGAGTTCTTCAAGATGAAATGAAAGGATGCTGATTAGTAGCAAGGAAATATATGAAAATCTATTATGCTGGTAAAGGTAAGTATATAGGGCGCCTGGGTGGCTCAGATGGTTAAGCGTCTGCCTTCGGCTCAGGTCATGATCCCAGCATCCTGGGATCGAGTCCTGCATTGGGCTCCCTGCTCCTTGGGAGCCTGCTTCTCCCTCTGCCTCTCTCTCTGTCTCTCATGAATAAATAAATAAAATCTTTTAAAAAAAAAGGTAAGTATATAGTCAAATTCAGAATATTTTAATACTATGAAAAGGTGATGAATTAATCATTTAACTCTAGTATAAAGATTTAAAGGGAAAATATTAAAAATATGGTAACTACAATAATTTTTAAATGGATACAAAATATAAAAATAGGTAAATTATGACATCAAAATATAAATTATGTGGGGGACTAAAAGGGTAAAGTTTTGTATATGATTGAAGTTTGTATTAGCTTAAAATAGACTGTTATATCTGAAGATGTTTTATGTAAGCCTCATGGTAACTGCAAAGTAAAAACCTATAGTGGATACTCATAAGATAAAGAGATGGGAATCAAGGCACACCATTACAAAAAATTATCAACCCAGAAAGAAAGACAGCAAAATAAGAGGAAAGGAATAAGGGAACTACAAAAAGCAAGAAAACAATAAGATGGCATTAGTAAGCCTTACCTATCAATAATTACTTTAAATGTAAATGGATTAAATTCTTTAATTAAAAGGCATTTCAGCTCTAAGGACACAGGCTTATAGTGAAGGGATGGAAAAAAAGATACCCTTGCAAATGGAAAACAAAATAGAGCAGGAGTAGCCATACTTAGACCAGAAAAAATAGACTTTAAGTCAAAAACTGTATCAAGAGACAAAGAAGTATTTCTATAATGATGAAGTGATCAATTCATCAAGAATATGTAACAATGGTAAATATATGCAGGCAGCATCAGAGCAAATATGTTGAGCAAGTGCTAACAGATTTGAAGGGAGAAATAGACAAAAATACAATAATAGGAGAATTCAGTACTCCAATTTCAACAATAAATAGATCATCCAGACAGAAAATCATTAAGGAAATACTGGACTTGAACCATACTTTAGACCAAATGGACCTAACAGACATATACAGAGCATTCCACCCAACAGAAGCAGAATACACATTCTTCTCAAGTAAATGTGGAATATTCTCCAGAATAGATCATATGTTAAGTCACAAAATAAGCCTTAGCAAATGTAAGAAGACTGAAATAATACCAAGTATCTTTTCTGACCAAGATCAATAACTATAAACCAGTAACAGGAGGAAAGCTGGAAAATCACAAATGTGTGGAAATCAAAAGAGAAAAAAAATCTTGAAACAAAAGGAGATGGATGTACAATATACCAAAACTTATGGGGTACACCCAAAGCCATCTATATTTACAGTGCAATCCCTATCAAAATTCCAATGATATATATCACAGAAATAGAAAAAAAATCCTAAAATTTGTATGTAACTACAAAAGACTCCAAATAGGCAAAGTAATCCTGAGAAAGAAGAACAAAGCTGGAGGCATCACACTTCCTGCTTTGCAGGAAAGCTTCAAAACTACATGGTACTAGCATAAAAACAGACACATAAATCAATGGAACAGAATAGAGAGAGAGCCAAGAAATAAATCCACACATATACAGTCAACTAATACTTGGCCACAGAGCCAAAAACTCAATGTAGTCTTTTTTAATGTGTTGGGAAAACTGAATGACCACATGCCAAAGAATAAAACTAGATGCCTAACTTACATCCCTTACAAAAATTAATTTGAAATAGATTAAATACTTAAATGTAAGAACTGTAACTGTAAAGCTATTAGAAAAAAAAAAAAACAGGGGAAATGTTCCTTGACATTGGTCTTGACAAAGTTGTTTTTTTTTTTTTTTTTTGGATATGATACTAAAAGTGTAAGCAACAAAAGCAAAAGTAAACAAGTGTGACTATATCAAGTTAAAAAGCTTCTGCATGGCAAAAGAAACAATCAGCAAAATAAAAGGCAATCTACAGAATGGGAGAAAATATTTAGAAACTGTTTTCCATAGGGAAAAACCAACAATCTAGTTTAAAAATGGGCAAAGGTCTCTTTCTGCCATTGTGGAACCTGTGGAGGCCTTCTGGGAACAGGACTCCTAAAATGACAAATATGTCTGGAAAGCTGTGGTCCAAGGCCATTTTTGCTGACTATATGTGGGGTCTCCAGAACCAGAGGGAGCACACAGCTTTTCTTAAAATTGAAAATGTTTATGCTCAAGATGAAACTGAATTCCATTTAGGCAAGAGATGTGCTTATGTGTACAAAGCAAAGAACAACACAGTTACTCCTGGTGGCAAACTGAACGAAACCAGAGTAATCTGGGGAAAAGTAACTCATGCTCATGGAAACAGTGGCGTGGTTTGTGCCAAGTTCCAAAGGAACCTTCCTCCTGAAGCCATTGGCCCTAGAATCCTTGTGATGCTCTACCCCTCAAGGATTTAAACCTACTGAAAAGTAAATAAATAAAAGTGCAGATTTGGAAAAAAAAAAAGGCAAAGGACTTGAAAAGGCAGTTTTTCCAAAGAAGACATACAATGGCCAATAGGTACATGAAAAGAAAGCTGGACATCACTGATCCTCATGGAAATGCAAATCAAAACCATAATGATATCTCACCTCATACTGGTTAGAATGGCTAAAATCAAAAAGACAAGAGACAACAAGTGTTGGCAAGGCTATGGAGAAAAGGAAATGGTTGTGCACTGTTGGTGGAAATGTAAATAAATATAGCCACCATGGAAAACAATATGTAGGTTCCTCAAAAGATTAGACGTAGAACTACCATTAGATCCAGCACTCCCGCTTCTGGATATCCCAAAGGAATGAAAACACTATCTTGAAGAGATATCTGTACTCCCATGTTTATTGTGGCATGATTTTTAATAGCCAACATGTGGAAACTACCTAAGTATGTATCAACGCATAAATGGATAAAGAAATGTAGTATGTATACATAAACAATGAAATATTATTCAGCCATAAGAAAGAAGGAAATCCCGCTTTTTTTTTAAAAAAAGATTTTGTTTATTTATTTGACAGAGAGAGACACAGCAAGAGAGGGAACACAAGCAGGGGGAGTGGGAGAGGGAGAAGCAGGCTTCCTGTGGAGCAAGGAGCCTGATGTGGGGCTCGATCCCAGGACGCTGGGATCATGACCTGAGCCGAAGGTAGCCGCTTTACCAACTGAGCCACCTAGGCGCCCGGAAATCCCACTTTTTGAGACAACATGGATGGAGCTTGAGAGCATTTATGCTAGTGGAATAAGTCAGACAGAAAGAGGTAAATACTATATATTCTCACTTATATGTGGAATCCAAGAAAGCTGAACCAATAGAAATAGTGTAATGGTGATTGTCAGTGGCTGAAGGGTAGGGAAAGTGAGGAGGTATTGGTCAAAGGGTACAGACTCCTATTTATTAGATGTTAAGTCCTGGGGATCTAATGTGTAGCATGGTGATTATAATGAACAATAATACTACATTATATGCTTAGAAGTTTTTAAGAGAGCAGGTCTTAATTTTTTTTTTACCACAAAAAGAAATGGTAATTATATGAAGGGATGGAAGTGTTAACTAACTTCATTGTGATAGTCATTTTGCAATATATACATGTATCAAATCATTATACTGTATACCTTAAACTTACATATGACAACAATATCTTAGTAAAGTTGGGAAAAAAGAGTACATTGGAAAAAAAACACCAAGAAAGATTTATTTTACAAATGCAGTGGGGATTACTATTAATAAATCTATTTGTGTAACATATCACTAATAGTCCAAAGAAAATAAAAGATACAACAGTAATAGAGTAATAATACTAGCTCACATTTTTTGAATCCTATAGTGAGCTATGGTCTAGGTACTGTTTTAAGTGATATCTGTGTATCTATATATATGCACACACATATGTACATATACACATGAACACACAGTTTATATAAAAATTTCATGAGGTAAATAATATTTTAGTTTTCATTTTAGATGAGAAAAACTGAGACACAGAAAAGTTTAGTAACTTGCTTAAATTCACACAGTTACTATGTGCAAGAGTTAAGATGTGAGCCAAAGAAGAACCTGTAATGTTAAGCCACTATGCGAAGTTGCCTCTCAATATATAAAAAATAACAATGCTATAAGATTTATAATTTGCTAACATTTATCAGGTGGTTATTATGTGCCAGATACTACTCTAAGCACTTTGAGTTAACTCATCCTCACTATAGCAATATGATGCAGATATTTTTATTATTATTTTTATTTTACAGATTAGTGAGGTAGAGAAGGAAGGGTTAAGTTAACACCTCAAGATTACTTCTCTACTGCCCTACTAAATGGTGAGTTAGGTTTTGGATCCATGTAATCTGCCTTCAGAGGAGATGCTGTACTGCCTCCAAAACATTTGAACATTCATTCCTGATAATAAACAAAAGAAAACAATGCAAAATCAACCACCAACCAACCAGAAACTATGTTCTTAAACTAAATTAAAAGGATGCTTCCTTAAAATTATTTTTAAAAATCTATCTAAAATTCCATTGTATATCATGCTTCATGAAGTTTTAAACACTAAATATATTACCATTAAATTTAGTAACGGGGTATGCTGCATTAAATCAACATGACTTATTTATTTAATTTAAAAAAATATTTATTTAAGAGAGAGAGCAAGTGTGTGTGGGGGGAGGGGCAGAGGGAGATGGAGAGCAAGAGAATCTCAAGCCAACTCCCGCTGAGCATGGAGTCAGATGCTGGGCTCCATCTCATGACCCCTGAGATCATGACCTGAGCTGCAATCAAGAGTTAGACGCTTAACTGACTAAGCCACCCAGGCACCCCTAAATCAACACTATTTAAAAAAAAAAAAAACCTTTTTTGGAGATATAGTATAAAATATATGAAAACCATTCAATGAAAAAAATGAAACCACACCAATACATAATTGAGATGAAGTCATGAATAGGGAATTCACAAAAATATAATTATAAGTTGGTGATCTAAAAAGAAGGGCAGTGAAGAAATAAGAAAGTGAAGGTGAGATACTCAGTAAAGGGTGCATTGTCAAACTAGTAAAATAACCTTGCTAAGGAACTCCAGGAGTCAGTGTAGAATCAGCTAGCGTCAGTTAATCTCTGTTACCTCCAGTGACAAAAGGAGCTAGAGTATTTACATACCATCCTCTGTTGCTCAGGACAAGTTAAGGGTTACTCCTTGAAGAGAGAGGATGTTTGTTGATTTTCTGGCACTTCCAGCCAGCGCAGCACACTGAGAGGGTTTCTAGCTCCAGACAAAGACCCAAAGCAGTTGGAAGTCTGGCTTGCATCATAGTGGTGAGGTCTGGGGCTGGGGGATGAGGCTGGGGTATTGACAGTGTGTACTGCAACATTATAACAACACATTTTTGAATACTGATACTGACATCCACACTTTTCAGGAGTTAATATTTTTTTTCTATAAGTAGAATGACAAGAACAGAATCTCATTGTAATACCTATCTGTTCAGGAGAATTTGGAAAAAGCAACTTATCTGGACCTCAACTAAGGAGCTTATTTATTGAAGAAATGAAAAAACCTTGCTATAACCCAGTTCATCTATAAAATATTGGTGCTCAGAAACAAGTGCTAATACAATCATATCTGCTTGTTGGCAAGTCTTCTATTAATAAAAGAGAACATGATTTCTGTTTTAAGATCAGAAGGGACTAGACTTATTTTAATCCTGTGAACCAATCATCTTGCAAACTGTATGAGAAATGATGCTGTCACCTTGCAATATACAAACTATAATTTTCTTCCATTGCATGGGAAGAGAGACTCTGAATTTATCTTCAGTTCTGACAACCGTATGAAAAGATTAATGAACATTTTCCAGGTCTTATAAGCATTAAAATACCAAAGCTCTTAAAAATTGTTCCAAATGGCTAGATCCTAGCATGGTGTCTGATACATAGTAGATACTTAAAAGATATTTTTTGAGGCTCAGTTACCATTAGTACTAAACTTTCTGGATTAGATTGATCCATTCTTTTATTTATTCTGCAAACATTGAGTATCTACACCACATCAGACACAGTGCTAATTTAGAATTTTACCTAGATGGATCTATATATTATTTGGCAGAGAAAAATAACTTGAGTCTCTTAGTAATGTTATTTATATATTTAACCTTAGAGCTGTTCCCACATACAGAGGAAATCTTTACCCTTAATGCAAATTTTAGAGACTTGTCTTTCTCAAACTTCCTATATCTGTTTAAGTCTTTCTTTCTCTGCATTGCCATTTCTTATTCTAGCTGTTTGACAGCTTCTTTTATAGTAGAACAGCTCACTAAAAACTCCTGAGAACTTTACAGACCATTACACAGAGAAGTAGTCTCCCCAATTCCTGCCTTCTTAGAACATTGCATTTGATTGATAGATCAGTTTGAGGCTAGTGAGTACTGTCATAGTTTCACTTGTTCTTTAGATGTTCTGAAATTGTTGATCAGTAGTAATTTTATGCTTGCCAAGGACTCCTAATCCCACTGCTCTGGAAATCACTAAGTTCTTGTGTTCGCTAATTGTTTTAGGTTTCAGTTTAGTCACCTCCGAAATTTTGTATCTTCTGTGACAGTTTTCTGATTCATAGAAAAGAAGAAAGTGATTCTTTTTTCCTGGAGTTGTGAAAATACGATGAGATACAATAGGAAAGAGCTTTGTAGACAATAAGGCTTCTAGGTATGTAAGCTATTATTACTGCTACCACGGTTACTACCACCACCATAGTCATTTAAGAGTTGATGACCTTGGCTAAGTTACTTTTCTGAGCTTCCATGTCCTCATTTATACAAAGACAGCCTCTGTGTTCAATTCTACCTCAGCATCAGGAGAGATTTTACTGAGGAAGCTATCCTAGAAGAGAATTTTGAAAGATGAGTCATTCTTAGCTTTGGAGAAAGGGAAGACAGACATTTCAGGTAAAGTTAGCAGTGTGAGCAAAGCTGAAATAGTCTGGTGATTTGGAACTGCAAACAATTTGGCAGGAGCCTCTCTGCAGTGACTCTTAATGATAAGATTCCACAGGGAGGATCAGGCCAAAGCAAGCAGTTAAGACTGAATTCCTTAGTAATGTGGTGGCCCTGAATGATTTGAAGCAAAAATAAGAATCATAACTACAAGGAGGGTGGACCATGTCATGGGAAAATAGTAGTGAAGGTAAGACCCAACTAATAACAGTATTTATGGTGTACTAAATACGTATTTGACATTGTGTTGAGCATTTTACATGTATTATGTCATTCAATCCTAAGAAAAACTATGAAAGTTAGATCCTCATATTACCTCCATTTTACAGATGAGGAAATAGAAGGTCAAAAAGGTTATACACATAGTAAGTAACAGAATGTAAGTCTTTCAGACTTCACAATCTACATTCTTAATTACTGCACTGTACTGCATAATTTTATTTTAAAATTCTTGTTTCCTGAACTTATGTGGAAGCTGTTAAAAACTGTGTTAAAAATTAGATCATAGGCTCTTTGAGTTGGAGGATATTTTGTCCATTTAACATAATCCTCTGTCCAGTGCAGTGATCCCCTGTGATCCATGCATGCCCTGTGAGTGATGCCCTGTGAATAGTCTTGTTCTACTTCAGCACATGCTCTGTGACAGGAGCTCAGTATAGAAAGAATGTGTCCCTAATAATTGTCCTCATATTGAGCTGAAGCATCTGTTTTTATCTGTTGTCATGGTCTCAGTGAATTGAACTGAAGATCTCTTTTAACTTAAGAATTTTCAGTCAGATCTTTCATTTCTTCAATCAGTATTATTATTATTTTTATTTTTTAGTAAACAAAAGCAAATCCAGATTTCTCCCATAATCATTGTAGGCTGTTCACTCTCCTTATACATGTTTGTTCAGTTATGAATTGCCAGCCATCTGAGAAAGGCAGTATATGTGACAATTAAGAGTGTCGGCTTTGGAGCCACATAACATTGAGTCAGACAATCCAAGCTTTACCACCTTCTAGCTATGTGACAATCAGGTATTTTTTTTTTTTCTTC